TTAAGTGCAACTTTCTTAAGGAAAGTGATACAGGCTCAAAGTTTTTTCATGCTTTACTGAATCATAATCACCGGAAGAATTTTATTCCTGCCATTATGACTTCTCAAGGCCACCTTACATCTTCCTTAGAGGAAGTGGGCTCGGTCTTTGTAAATTACTTCCAACAACAGCTTGGTATTCCAACTCCTGTTCTTCCCCTTGATAGTGTAGTGATTCAAAGTGGTCTATGTCTCTCCTCTGACTCCCAAGCTCTTCTACTTGCTTCGGTTAGCCCTGAGGAAATTCAGAAAGCGGTCTTCAGCATAGGGGATGATAAAGCACCAGGTCCTGATGGCTATTCCTCACTTTTCTTCAAGCAAGCATGGCATATTATTAGCGAGGATTTCTGTTCAACTGTCCAAGATTTTTTCCATTCTGGAAAGCTCCTCAAGCAAATTAATCATTCCATTATTGCTTTGGTTCCTAAATCAAGCAATGTAACTTCTCCATCTGATTTCAGGCCAATATCTTGCTGTAATGTGATATATAAGGTGATTGCAAAGATCCTTGCTGCTAGGCTCGCTCATGCTCTAATGGATATCATCAGCCCCTATCAAAACGCTTTCTTGGGTGGGAGGTTCATGAGTGATAACATTAATCTTGTTCAGGAACTTCTCAGGTAGTATGGTAGGAAACGTTCTTCACCTCGTAGCCTTTTAAAAGTTGACTTTAGGAAGGCCTTTGATTCTATCTAGTGGAATTTCCTGGAAAACCTCCTCCATCATCTTGGGTTCCCAGTTCAATTTTTATCTCTTATCATGCAATGTGTTTCCACTGCCTCATATTCTGTTGCAGTTAATGGTGATCTTCATGGGTTCTTCTAGGGTCAAAGTGGCGTCAGACAAGGCGAACCTCTCTCTCCCTATCTTTTTCTATGCTACATGGAGTATTTTTCCAGGATGTTGAAGTTAATTTCCCAGCAGGAGGGCTTTCGGTTCCATCCTAAATGTGGAACACAAAATATTACCCATTTGGCTTTTGCAGATGATATCCTCTTGCTATCTCGAGGTGATCTTCCTTCAATCCGATGTCTTCTTCATCAACTCACTCTTTTTGGACAGATCTCCGGGCTGGTGATCAATCCTCAAAAATCATCCATTTATTTTGGGGGAGTTAGCAATGCACAAAGAATAATCCTTCTCTCAGAAACAGGATTTAGGGAAAGGTTTTTTCCTTTCACATACCTTGGGGTTCCCTTAAGTCCCCATCGGCTATTAGCAAGCCAATTTTCCCCTTTATTACAAGATTTGGAACTAGTAATTCAGGGCTGGATTGGAAAGAACCTCACGTATGCTGGTCGTCTAGAACTTCTCCGATCTGTGCTTTATGGAAAAGTTCACTTCTGGTTGAATATATTCCCCATGCCAGAAATAGTTATTCATAGCATAATCAGCACTTGCAGGAATTTTCTATGGACCGGAGATGCCCGGCGACATCACTCTGCTTTGGTTTCCTGGAAAACTTTATGCCTGCGTAAAACTGAAGGAGGGCTTGGTCTCTTTGATCTTAAAGCTTGTAACAGAAGTTTTCTTACTAAACAACTTTGGAATATTCATCTTAAAATAGATTCAACCTGGATTCGGTGGGTGCACCACTTCTACTTAAACAGGGACACCATTTGGCATGCTCAAGCTCACCAGCACTCATCTCCTCTATGGAAAGCTATCATCTCTATACGGGATAACCTTGTTCAACATTGTGAATATCCAGGTGAGAGTATTCAGTTGCTGCGTAGCTGGTCATCCAGTAAAGGGACTTTCGTAGCTCATGCATATCAATTTTTTCGGCCATCTGGACCAACTATTCCTTGGCATCGGGTAGTTTGGGAGCACTGGTCATTGGCCAAATACAGTTTCATCCTTTGGCTAGCTGTCCTAGGCAAGCTCCGCACTTGTGATAGACTTCAATTCCTTCATGTTGATCCTACTTGTGCTTTCTGTAGCTAGGCAAATGAATCTCACCAACATTTATTCTTCTTATGTGGATGGACAAATCATCTATGGGCTCACATCAAGTCTTGGTTGCGGATTGATAGGAATATGAGCACGTTACAAAGTGCTCTTCGCTGGTTACATCCTAAGAAAAGAAACATGGATGCTCGTATGAGGAGAGTCTCCCTGGGCATAGTAGTTTATCTCATATGGGAGGAGCGCAACAGGAAGATTTTTGAGAAGAGAACTAGAAGTATTAACTCTCTTTTTAAAAGGTTTCAAGTCCTGTTCTTCATCATCTTCCGCTTCTATGAGAAGGATCACTCCCTCTTGCATATTGGATAGAGGGGCTGCTTTGATAATGGGGAGGACTCCATTCTGTAATGGTCTCATCTTGTATAACGGGAGATATTGCATCCTGCTAGTTGAAGCAGCAAAAGGTTGTCAAGCTTGGAAATGCATGGCATATTTTTCTCTTGGCTGGTTGTTTTTCTTTGGCATGCAGAACCTCCATTGCTGATGTGTGCTCTCCTCATTGCCTGGTTCCATTTCTCTTCCTTAGATTGCCTATGATTCCTTATGCTCTGAATGGGATTGCTTAAGCCTACATGTGTTTCACGTTCTTTTACTTTGATTAATTCTTGCCCGAGCACTGTTTAATATTTTAGCCATATCTGGAGTTCTAGAAGTCCAAATGAGCTGAATGTATTACACAAGAAAGCTGAGACAATTGCCTACAACTTTCATGTTTTCAATTAGCTCCAATTTTGACGTTATCAATGACGTTTTGGGCAGACAAGAGAAGATAAGGATTGTCACCAAGTCAAGAGTTGGCTACCCACTCATCAATTAGTCATCAAATCAATAGTTCCCAATTTTGGCCTATAAAAGGAGGCATTTGCCATGCATTTAGGCATCTTGGTGTCCAGATCAAGATCATGCTCTTGCTTTCTCTCTTTGTATTTTTTGTAATGTTTATGCTTTGCTTTCATTAATATCAAGTTTATGCCTTTCATTTCCTTTCCTTTACTTAGTTAACTCTTATCTTATTTATGTTCTTATTTTGTTTATTTATTTTTCTTTCTTTCATTATGTCTAGCTAAGTTTATTATGTCAAGGTGAAAAGGTTACACTAATGGTGTAAGAATAAGTATAATGTAAACTTAATATGGACTTTAATGTTTGATACTAACATGTTTTATATTTGTTATCTTGTTCACTCTTTAATACTTTGCTTGTTAAATGACTAATCTTGATTTATGTTGTATAACACTTGGTACAACAAATGCTTGGCACTTTCATAGCCCATAATGTATGGTATAACCGACACCTGAGCTATGAAAGAAACTTGATTTGTTGTTAACATAAGTTATAATCATGAATGCTTGACGAGATTTACAAGTATTAGCATTAATTGAATAAGATGACTAATGTAATCATGTTAACAATATATAATCTGATTGGAACCTCCTTTGTGTGTGGTTTCCAATTCAATAATAAGAGTTTATACTATACTTGTTTGATATACCATTAGTGGAACCTCTAACCTTGACATTTGTTATTATCATTGTTTAATCGTTACATTAATATTCCATCTCAAAGTTCTCATCATCTTCTTCTTCTTCTCTTTCTTTATTATTATTATTATTACTACTACTACTACTACTACTACTACTACTACTACTACTACTACTACTACTACTACTACTACTACTACTACTACTACTACTACTACTACTACTACTACTACTACTACTACTACTACTACTACTACTACTACTACTACTACTACTACTACTACTACTACTACTACTACTACTACTACTACTA